TGCTGAGACTTGACCTTTCCCACTTTTCAACTCCTTGGGTCATTTGGCTTCTACACCTCTAAACAGCTCTCACGTCCATTCTGTTTTCTTTCGGGCCATATCATCGATCTTAATTAAACTGTTGAGCGTTTCTTTACTGGTCTCTCTCCCTGAAACTTTATCTTTTCTCTGGATTACCAAAAAGTGAGTCCACCAAACAAGGAATAGTCCTGTCAGTCTCTCAGACTAGCTACATAGCTAACCAGCAGATCCTTAAGATCCAAGCACTGTTTTTCCTAGGGAAGCATCCCTCAAGTCTCTGTAGCCAAAACACCTTCCCTTCCTGCCTACACTGTGCTCATCTAGTATCTCCATATTTTTATTATTCCTTGTGAAATTACATTTTAATTATTTACATCTTTGTCTTTATGGTAAACATCTAATGAGTTGTCTTTCTAGAGTACACTTTGTTGAAAAACTGCCCTGTCTCCTCAGTCTCCTGAAATGCTTCTCTGTGGTGGTCAGCTTTCTGACTGTAACAAATACCAGAGATAAATGAGTTCTTTTTTGAGACAGACTTTCTCTGTGTAACAGCCCTGGCTGTCCTAGAACTCTTTGTAGACCAGGCTGGCCTCAAATTCACAGAGATCTGCCTGCTTCTGCTTCCCAAGTGTTGGGATTAAAGGCCTGTGTCACCCCTCCTGGTGATAAATGAGGTGTTTTTTTTTTTGTTTTTTTTTTTTTTTTTTTTTTTTTTTTTCGAGACAGGGTTTCTCTGTGTAGCTTTGCGCCTTTTCCTGGAACTCACTTGGTAGCCCAGGCTGGCCTCAAACTCACAGAGATCCGCCTGGCTCTGCCTCCTGAGTGCTGGGATTAAAGGCGTGCGCCACCACCGCCCGGCGATAAATGAGTTTTTAGAAGGCTTATTTTTGCTCACAGTTTTGGAGATTTTCATCCATGTTTTTTTTTTTTTTGGACTCGTGGTGAAGCAGGTCATCAGAATAGGGGCATGGTGAAAAAGAAGCATTCATCTCATGGTACCCAGGAAGCAGAGAGGCTGAGGTCCAAATATCCCCTTCAAGGGCATGTACCCAGTGTAAGATGAATTGCTAAACGGTCTTATTAATAAAAAACCCAGAGCCAGATATTGGGGTGAAAGATGAAAGATCAGAGATGCAGAAAGAAGCCAGCCATGTTCTTACTACTAGGAAATCCTCAGCCCAAGAGAGAGCCACTTCCTGTATACTCACACCTATGTACATTTCTGTGCCCTGCCATCTTACTTCCTCACTCCGCCTAGCTACATCACTTTCCTCTTTCTGCCCAGCTCTATCACTTCCTGTCTGTCTGTACAGACCTCCAGACCTCTATGGTTAACTAGTGCTGGGATTAAAGACATGTGCCACCACGCCTGGCTCTGTTCCCAGTGTGGCCTTGAACTCACAGAGATCAGGATGAATCTCTGCCTCCCAAATGCTAGGATTAAAGGGGTGTGCTACCACTGCCTGACCTCTATATTTAATATAGTGGCTGGCTTTTTCCTCTGGTCCCCAGATAAGCTTTATTGGGGTGCACAAAAAAATATCACTACAACCCAGTGACTTGGCTTCCACTAGGTCCGACTTCCCACAGTATCACCAGTTTGGCACTATTGAGTGCCAAAGACTGGTGGCCAAACACACACCACATGGGCTTTTGGGGAACACTTATCTAAAACAGCACCTTCTATCTTTATCCCACATTTACTCTCTGGTATGGTTAGAGGAAGAAGTTTGTAGGCAGTTTTATATCAACTCTGACTTCAGTTAGGTTACTTAGTTTCTTTTTGAATATGAAATCGAGAGACATAATGACTGAGTCTACTTGATCATAGCATCTGAAACATAAAGTTAGGGAGTGTAGGGCATATTTTCTATCATTAAGTAGAGGAATCCTAGACTACAGGGATGAAAGATGAAAGATGGTTGAGACAAGGCAATATTTAATTTTATGAGGTGCTCAGATATAAAGTTAAACATTGCTTCTAGGTATGTTGGTGAGGGTGCTTCAACCAGAGATTAGTATTTTCATTGGAAAACAGATGATTCTCTTCAATGTAAATGTAAGATACCAATCCACCGAGGGCCTGAATGGAATCAAAAGGGGAAGTAAGGCTGTGTTCACGCTGTAAACTGAACCACCCATCTCCTGTCCTTAGTAGTCCTGAGTCCTAGACATTTTGCTATCCTTTCTGGCTCTCAGGGCTTTTAATTCTATCAAGTTTTCTTGGTCTTCAACTTGGAGATAGTGGACTGTAGGACTTATTGGCATATGAGTCCATCCCTTTCAGTGAGTATACCAAACCTTTCTCACTGTCTCTCCATATATGCACCATACACATGTGCATGTGTATGTCTGTGTCTGGGTGCATGTATGTACATGCACCCACAGTTGTCTCTACACATGCATGGGTTCTATACCCACAGGTTTTACATTCAGGGATTCAACCCAGCCATGAACCAAAAATGTAGTTAAGGGCTAGTGAGATGTCTCGGCAGGTTAAGGCACTTGCTCCCATGCCTGATGACCCGAGTTTGGTTCCCAGAACCCGCATGGTGAAATAAGAGAACTAACTCCCACAACTTGTCTTCTGATCTCCACACTCATGCCATGGCATGTTCACATACATACATACACACACAAATAAAAAGGTTAAAAATGTGCTTAAGCTATGATGGTAGCCTTTGTAGTGAGCATGTGTATACTATTCCCCAAATAACAGAGTGTACCTCTGTTTACCTCAAGTCATTTAGAGATGATTTAAAGATGATTTAAAGGGTTGGAACTGGACATGGTGGTACACGTGTGTAATGTTGCCACCTTGGATATGGAGGCAGGAGGATCAGCAGTTCCTACATAGCTAGACCCTGTCCCCCAAACAAACAATAATAGCAAAAAAAAAAAAAAAAAGTATAGGGTTGGAGATGAATGGGTTATATGCAAATACTATACTACTTTATAAAAAGGACTGAGACATTCACATTTTTAGTTGTTCTGGGGATCTTAAACACCTTTAAGATACTGAGCTATTCATATTCCATATATATTAAGATATTCCATAAATATACATCTATAGCCCATGTCTTAGTTAGGGTTTCTATTGCTGTGAAGAGACCCCATGACCACGGCTACTCTTATAAAGAAAACATTTAAGGGAGTGGCTTAAGTTTCAGAGGTTTAGTTCCTTATCATCATGGTGGGAAATGGAGGAATTTAGGCAGACACGGTGCTGGAGAAGGAGCTGAGAGTTCTACATCTTGATTCACAGACAACGGGAAGTGAGCTGTCTAATATATTGGGCATAGCCTGAGCAAAGGAGACCTCAAAACCATCCCCACAGTGACACACTTCCTCCAACAAGGCCACACCTACTCCAACAAGGCCATATCTCTTCAAAGCGCCACTCCCTTTGGGGGCCATTTTCTTTCAAAGCACCATAGTCTATATATATATATACATATATATATACATATATGCACATATACACACATATATATGCACACATATAATCTCAAAGTGACTCTGTGTGTCAAATTTCCTTGTAACTTATTCCACCGATCAGTTACAAATCAACCCTTTAAAAGATGATTACGTTTTATTTATTGTGTGTGTGCACATGTATGCCAGTCAAAGGAAAACTTGGAGGAGTATTCACTCCTAACGTGGGGTTGGAGAATCATACTCAGGCTATCAAACTTGACTGTAAGCACCATTACCTGTTGAGCTATTTCTCTGGTCCCCACTAACATCCCTTTTTATCCCTGAGCTAGTGAGCTGATCACTATATAAATAAGACACTTAGTTTTAAAGGGCTATGTTCTCTCTAATTTCTGTCTACCTTTGTCATTTCATGATTCTTTCCCACCTGAGCCTTCTCCCTCCATGCTTTCCTCCCAGGAAAGGCTTACCTCTCTGAGGATGTTTCATGGGACTGAAACTGGATTCGTCAAAGGCAGGAGGATTTGTATGTCGGTATTTGCTGCTTTAAATGTCCCTTGTAGCACTCTTCTGGATTCTTTCTGTACTCCTCCACCTCTCCTTTTATTCATTCTCTGCCCACAGCCAGTAGTTTTTCTCAAATAAAAATCTGACATCACATTCCTGTGCTAATATGTCGGTGCCCCGTCCTTATCTGTGAAATAAAGTGCAGTTTTTAAAAACATGGCCCAGGAACGCTGCATGATCTGTTCTCTGCTGATCGCTTCTGGCCTTGAGTCCGCTCTCCCCAACCATTTGTATTCTCACCTCCAAGAGATGAACTTTAAGTTCTTTAAGTTGCCAAGTTATTTTTTCCTTTTGGCTTTCTCTTCTTGTTACTCTCCCTTCTGTCTGTTCTGTCTACTGTTGCAGCCCAATTGCACTGACCCTTCGGTCTCCGTCATACTGCCCTCTGTGGGCGTTCTTCGTCATAGCACCTGCATTGAAGAGCTGCTTGACTCATCGGCTAGTCCCCTTCACATCCTGTCCGCAAAGATGCTTTATAAGCTCTTCAGTCTCCAGAACTAATTGCAATGACTTGTTTGATGATTTCATCTCCCAGTATCTACCTCCTGCTCAATATAGAAATCTGACAGTTCTAGTAACTGCCTCCTTTTAAAGCCCTAAGATTAGAAAGTTATTTGACAAATTTAGAAATGATAAGGAATTAATGTGGAGTCTCTTTCAATAGACATCTGTATATTCCAGGGCATTGGTATAAACTGGTTACCAAGTTAATTCTGGTCAGCCTTGAAGTTACAACATGACTATGAATAACTTATTCCATAAATATGCATTATACTGATAGGTGAATAAATGACTAAAATACCATTTGACAGCTCGCCTTCCACCTCCCCCTGGGCTTACGTCACTTTCGGCTCTCTCACGTTAGTGAGAGGTGATGTTTCTTGGACTGTTTCCCATCCTTTCTCATCTGCTGTATTATTAAGTAGGCTGTACTCATGGCGAGTTCGTCCTCCGTTAGAACTCTCTTCCTTGAGTATAGCCATCTGCTTCTCCCTGGAATTGGAGCCTCAGAACTGGGTCTTTCCTGGGTCAGAGGAGGATGGGACAGACTCCGTAACCAAAACCAGAGAGTAATTAAGGGCTCCATCCTGCGCTCCTGGCCCTGACAGGTGGCATGCATCTATAGTACTGGCTAAGGAGACTTGCCCTGACTTGTGCAGCTGAATATATCCCTCCTGAGACCCAGTCAAACTCCCAGCACCCTAAGTTTAAAGAGAGGGGATGCCTACATTTTAAAAACAATGATAGGTTTATTTTGGAAAAATGTAGATGCCTCAGAACAGTGCTTACGGAGAATACCAAGCGTTGGGAACTGGGGTGAAGACACTCAGTGGAGGCGGGAGACGGAGGTAAACAGTTCCTTGAACCTTGTCGCGAAGATGAAGGATTTTAAACGGATTTTCTGAAGTTGCCCGGCGTCCGGATTTCCTGGACCACTCGCGCTGCCTGCCTGCTGAGGAGTGCGCCTCCGGGGGAGGTGTGCGCGCGCGCTGGAGGCAGGGAGGCGGTGGAGAGGGGCCTGGCTCCCGGAATAAACAGCGGGGGAGCGGCTCGGCGGACGCCTGCGGCCGGCCGAGGGAGCGAGGTGCAAGGGCCGCAGGCCACAGAAGCGAGCTCCGGGATGGTAGCTAGGAGATCGGAAAGCCTTTGATGCCAGAAGCCGCTGGCTGGAGACACTGACAACCCAGCCCCTCCGGGAGTCTCAGGCTGTGGCTCAGACCTTAAGGTAAGCAGTGGCTCCTTGCAACCCAGGAGCTGCGAGCCCAAGCGTGCCGGGTGCGTTCCTACCTCCCTGGGGCTGCCACCTCTTCACCTTCTTCCTTTGCCCTTCCCCAGGGTCCTCCCGCCAAGCTGACGCCCTGTGCTGGGTGACTGGCAAGGGAGCGTTCTGGGTTTCTGTTCCGCGGCCCATGGGACCTTTGCCTCCTCTCTGAACCACCCCTCACTTTCACTTCTTTCCCAGGACCGCTCCAGGAATCTGGCACCCCAGACGCTGGGTGCTGAGAGCGAGTGGGTGGCATGAGTTCTTCCACCCTCTCCAGGTGTGTGATACACAGATGCATTAATTGCCCCTAAGGTCTGGAAATAATTTGGCGTCTGAAATACTGCAATTCCTCACCTTCCATAACCTACCCTAGCCTTTCATTACTGTCTTTACTTTGGAAAGAATATCAACTCTCGAATCAGGTCATTGCAACGTACCACCTTATCTTTGTGTCTCCACTGAACGTCAAGTTGGGATCCCCCAGTCTCTACCCTACCCCCCTTTCCCAGTTTAAACAATGTTTTCAAGGCTACAGCAACTGCTACAAGTTTATTCGACCTTGAAGCGCTATCTCTTATCCAGGAGCATGAAAAAAAAAAAAAAAAAAACCCTCAGGCCCCACCCTACAATCTTGATTCAGATCTGGAGGGAGAGGGGGAGGAACTGAGGGAGAGGCAGAGGGAGAGGCTGTTGTGTATGTAAATGTGCTTTATATCTAAAAATCCTGCCAGAAGTGAGTGCGCTCCTCGTCATCGATTCTCCTCCTGAAAGTAGAAGACCCATGTGGGAGAAAGCCCCGTTCTCCAAAGCTGATGGTTTGATGCGGTGCCATCACTTCTGGGATGGCAGTTTGGGGAAGGGGCAGCTATTCAGAAACTCAGATACAGGATTAGGGGAAAATGCCATACTTCTAAGAGACCAGATTTAAAATGTCTCGTTTTTAAAATGTAATCATTTCCTCATAAATACTCCGTGCTGAAAAGGGCGGAGGTCTATCCTGCAGGGAATCAGAAAATCTTCCTCTGACTGTCCCTTCATTTTTGTTAAGGATGGAATGCAGGCCTTTGGCTGGTTCACTTGTTGCTCACTTAAAGGCAAAAGACTCAGACAGACCAATTGCCAGGCAACAAAAGAAGGAACGATCGTGTAAAGTGATCCAAATCCTGCTAATGTTCCCGATTATGTGAGCCCAGGTCTTCTACTCTGACTGTCCTGTAAACTTTGCATGTTGTCACAGATGCACATCAGCTAATTTTCATGCATCCTTCTATGTATCTGAGCCGTTCTAAGTACCTGTGAAGTCACCAGAGGCTAACTATCAGGGGAAAGAGAGATTATTTGTGTCTTCTGAAGAGCTGAGGGAATGGCTAATTAACATATTGTCAAATAGATACGATATTAAAGCACTTATTTCTTTTCATAGAACGAGATATGGTGAAATAGGGATGATGCTTGGTACCTGCTTTCAAGAATATTAAGGACAGACTAGAGACTGTGAAGCCGTGAAGCCTTTTGAACATTTGAGAAACGACGCTGTCTAGTTATTGAGCCAATGTGATTGTTTTCCTGGCAAAATTTCTCTCCTTTCTAAAATTAACTTTCCCTAAGGAAAACTAGTGCAGATGCACATGATTCAGCCCAACCAAGTCCTGAAAATGCCGTAAATTTCAAAACTGACCTCACTTTATTCCCGTAGATCCTTGTTTGAGGGCTGATTGCGGCACATGCAGAAATGCCCATTGCTAGCTGGCCTTTGCAAAGCGCTCCTTTGATGGCATGGTTATAGACAGAGCATAGTATTAAGCTACAAGTTCTACTGGTGAGGCAAAAGTTATTCCCCAAAGGTTTTATGTATGTTGTACACATTAGTTCTGAGACTTCCATAATTATATATGTAACACATGTTTTTAATATGAACCCAAAACCACAATATTTTTCTCTGTGGTGGGACATTTAAGCACTAGGTTTTGATCACTTTTCATGGAAATTTTAATTTGACAGAACTAAGAGCTTCAAGAAAATAATTCCATAAAGATCTATTTGGAACTAGAAGTCCTTGAAAGAAGAGAAAAAGATGTTTAAAGCCCCTGGCCAGCTGTGTGCACAGCCTTCTGCAAGTCTTGAGAGTAACGGTAGATCCAGTTCTGGCAGCCTCCGACTGTGGATGATTAGACCCTACCACCATTCTGCAGACCTTTAATTTAGTCTGTAACTCGATGCTTCACTGACCCCACACATTCTCTTTCTGCCACGCTAGCTCACAGAGGAATGGCTGGCACTTTGGATTGACATTTTTTCCCCTCCCATCAATTAGAACACAATTGTATAGGTTGCAGAATGCAGTTGCATTTTTAACTCAATATTCTAAGAAGTACCTTTGGTCACAAAGAGAATAGCCCTACGCAGGCTGCATCATTTGTCTTGTTTCACTGTGCCATGTTAATTATTCAATGATTCAAGGATGTAGAAATAACAGAGTCACAGGTATTAAAGCTGGAAGGGCACTTCAGAATTCATCCCGATTTTAATCATTCTTTTCTACAGATGAATACCAAAGTGCTCATTGCCATAATCCAATCTTTGAGACTAGGCATTAAGTTTTACATCTTTCCAGTTCTCAAAGTAATGAGGATTTTTGTATACCTGAGATGAATTTATATATGAATTCCACAGGGTAGCAACAGCTGTCGAGTAGGTTGCTAATCTCACTAGATTTCCAATGAAACTCAACATAGCAAATGTAGGTCATTTACAAAGGCACCAAGCTACTTGAAACTAACACCCTAGGACTTCCATTATCTTGGGTGGGGACTACTTGAACTGGCTGGCAGAAGACAAAGGGTACCTCAAGACAGATGAATAAAGATGGGCAAGAGAGTAAGATAGGGTGTAGAAAGAGCAAGGCTTTGTGAACCTGCAAATCACTCAAGGGTGGGTAGCCTTCAGCTTCTTTAAGTCCCTTTAAATATGGTAGTTGTCTTAGCATTACATCAATCTTGGACAGTTGATGTGGACATTAAGTGTGTGTAAGTTGAATTATAAAAACATGGATACTTTATAATGACTTTTCAGAATTATGCTGTACCTCAGATAGCCCCAAATACATGCAATGCAATCGTCTATAGGTCATCCAGCACCCTGCACTCGTCAGGAAGTGGTGTGCATCCTTGATGAAGATGCTAACTTCTCTGAATCACAGCTCTAAATAAAGAGGATAATGACTACCTTTTAGGACAGGGTTTTTAGTCTGAAATCATAGAAATAATCCTTGTTTCTTTCCTTTGGACCTCTACCTCATTGAGGCCTGTCCTTTAAAAGTCCATTCCTTATGTTTCTATCCTTCAAAATCTTTATCTTCCAGATTGTTCACTTGAAATGAATTTATATATGAGTTCAATAGGGTAGTAATGGACCTGAGGTCCTGGTGTTTAATATTTTTCTTACTAGTTATAAAATACTTATTGATATGTGGCATTAAAAGGATTGAATTCAATCTTGAGAGGTCATATAAAACTTAAATATTCTTGCCATAGCACAATTATTTACCATTTATTGAGGTACTTTATATGCATTAAGAAGTATCTTTAGGTGCTAGAGAAACAGCAATTAAGAACATTGGCTGCTCCTCCAGAGGACCTGAGTTTGATTTCCAGCACCCACATGGCAGCTCACAATCATTTGTAACTCTGGTTCCAGGGGATCTGATGCCTTTCTGGCCTCTATGGGCACCAGGCATGCATGTGGTACACAGATGTATATTCAGGCAAAACACTTATTCACAAAGGGAAAAAAGCTACAGATCCCTAAAGAGGCAACCATTACCCTCTTTAAATAGAAATAGAGCTGTCATCCAGAGAAGTTAGCACCTTCATCAAGGATGCGTACTACTTTTAACATGTCCCACTACTTCCCTAAGAGTACAAGATGCTGTGTGGTCTATAGATGATGGTGCTGTGCACTGTAGCACAAATTCTAGTTGGTCTTAATAATAAAAACCCAGATTCAGATATCAGGGTGAAAGCTGAAAGATCAGAGAAGCAGAGCTGTCAGCCACCGGAAAGATTCTTACCTCTAGGAATCCTCAGACTGAAAGGGGCGAGCTCTTGTCTCTACCCTGTCTTATCACTTCCTCTTTTCACCCAGCCATATCACTTCCTGTTTCCTCCTCCCAAGTGCTGGGATTAACATGTGCCTCCCAAGTGCTGGGATCAAAGGCATTTGATCCCAAGTGCTGGGATTAAAGGTGTGTACCACCACTACCTGGCTTCTAGTAGCTAGCTCTGCACTCTGGTCTCCAGGCAAGCTTTATTTGTTAGAGCACAAACAAAATATCACCATAATGCACATTTGGAGCTTCTGAGATATTTCCTAATTCTGAAAAGACTTTATAAGGCCTTCATATATTTGTATATTTCATCTTAGATGCATTCAATGGAACTCAACCACCTGGCATTGATTTAATACTTAGAAACAACCACATTTAATGTGCTTCCAAGATAAAGTGGACCCCCCAATAATCAAGATGTTTAAAATTTTTTTCTTTATAATTTTCAGAAATTTGAGGATGCACTAGATACCTATTGGTGACTAATTAATGTACTCTTCACTGCTCTCTAAACACAAGTATCTAGAGCAGTGATTCTCAACCTTCCTAATGCTGCAACCCTTTAATGTAGTTCCTCAGCCGGGCGGTGGTGGCGCATGCCTTTAATCCCAGCACTTGGGAGGCAGAGGCAGGCGGATCTTTGTGAGTTCGAGGCCAGCCTGGTCTACAGAGTGAGATCCAGGAAAGGAGCAAAGCTACACAGAGAAACCTTGTCTCGAAAAACCAAAAAAAAAAAAAAAAAAAAAAAAAAAAAATGTAGTTCCTCATGTTGTGGTGACCCCCAACCATAAAATTATTTTCATCACTACTCCACAACTGTAGATTTTCTACTGTTATGAATCATAATAAATATCTG